GGGTGTAAATCTTGGTTGCAGGAGGGAGTGTTGTAATTAAATTTGACTCCTTTTTGCTGAAAGGGGTAAGTTTTATGTTTATTTTATCTTCATAGTTTACTGGACATGGTAAAGCAATTTCTTCGTCAGACGGTCTGGAAACTATTGAAACTACTTCTTCTATTTCTTCACTTTGCAAACGTTTACACATTTTTATGATACTTTATAAAAGTTTTTAATAATTTAGTTTTACATTTTACTAAAACTTTAGGTTAGTACTCAAAAAATTTAGGTTAGAATTTTGAAAGAAGGGATGTGGTTGTATACTCGTTTAAAAGGACGCTTTGTATCTTGACCCTATATGTTTTTATTTTTTATTATTTTTGAATAAGAAAACTTCCAATGTTAAATTATATTTTTTATGCTACTTTAGTAATCCTGTTTAGTCTTTCTTTTTCAGAATGTTAGTTTTTAACTTAAAAATATTAATAGGCTAAAGGGAATTTTACTTCTCACTATGGAAGTGTAATTCTGATTATGTTGCCTAGCCTTTATTTACAAATGGTGTAATGTTCATTCAAAAGATACTTGGAATATTTAATTAAAATAACGTGTATAATCTAAAATGATATTATCTGCAACGTTTAATTAACACAATTAAGAATTGTACAAAATCTGTCAATATGCCTGAAGAAAAAGTGAGTGATACAGAAGATAAAATTCAATACATACAAAGATTGTGCTGTGGACTACAGAGTGATAACAAACGCACAAGGAAACAAATTCTAGTCGATCTTGAAAAGTATCTTTCTAGTGAACAGTTTTCTAATCAGGAATTGCGAGACATTTTTAACGAAATTCATATTTACACTCTAAATGCCTTGAGAGATAAAGCAGAGGCAGTTCGAGAGCAAGGGATACACTTTATGCAATTTCTTGTAGTAGAGAAGTTACCCTTAAATGATTATTACATCACTTACGTGATTCCAGTGCTAGTTGAACGATTAGGGACCGTTGAAATAGTGGAAGAGTCAGAAGAAATTAGATTACAATTGGTCAAATTTTTACATGCGATTATTGAAAGATACTCAAACACCTCACAGTTGAAACCATTCTTAAATGATGCAGTCATCATACTAAAAGAAACTGTTAAAGACAAGTTTCCAGATGTTAAAGAGGTCAGTTGTAAATGTATAGTGGATCTGGCAAGATCCTTACCAAGAGATTTCCACACACAGGCCGAAAACTTAGTTAAACCCATTGTAACTGCATTTACTCACCAACGTTACAGAATTCGTGTAGAAGCAATCAAGTGCATGGGTATGTTCTAATTTACTGCTTTTTAGTAAAGTAGAATTGTACAATTATCTTTAATAAAATAGATAAATAAAAAGAACATTTACTGCTACAAATTCCAAAAACTTGTAATTATTTGATAAAAATTTTAGGTGAAGTCATATTGCATTGCACTCATAAAGGTTTAGAAGATGCCTTGACCCCAATGGCTGAAAGATTATTTGATTCTATTCCTTTAGTGAGACAAACTGTAGCGGATGTTGCTGGTCGTTGGCTCTTAGAATACAGAGATAGATATTCTTTTTTTGCAAAACTTCTACCACTTTTATTAACAGGGTAATAGATGTACACTTTTCTACATTCATCTTGAACTTACAATCTTTCTTTGAAGATTAAATGATGAAGTACCTGAAACCAGAGATAAATCTTATTCAATTTGGGTAAAAGTAGGTCTTCAGTACATGCAAGAAAATGAAAAGGACCTGAAAGATCAAATGGACTTCCTTGTAACTATTCCAGAGCATTATCCAAAACATTGTAATTATTATAAAGACTTAATTAAAAAGTAAAATTGATAATTTAATTTTCTAATGTTTTAGTGACCAGACCTAATTTGGGATGCAGAGCATTAGTTAAGAGGGAAGTTGGCAAAGTATGTCTAGCTTTAAGTCGAGAATTAAGTAAAAGCTGGCAATATGACGTAAAAATTCGTTGTAGTCAGCTTTTATGCTCAATTGCATTACATGCTGAGGAGGGAATAACTCAACATTTACAAGATATTCTACCTGCAATGTATATCACTGCTAGAGACGAAGATGATAAAGTCGTTGTGAATGTAAACAAATTTTTATTACCCTCAAAACAATTTTTTTCAACTTAATTTATACTTTTTAAAAGTTTTGTAAATATATTTTTTAACGTTTTAGCTTGTTCAAGCAAGTGAATTAATGGGTCTTTTCGTTCCTGTTGAAGCATGGTTGAAGCTTATCCTTCCAGCAATTGAAGATGGCCCCCATTATGGTCATTTAATAGTGTTGACAGGATTCATTGAAGGGGCACCCCAACAACATATCAGACCCCATCTAAAGGAAATTTCAACATTATTAGCAGACAAGACATTTTGTCAGAGTCGAAAAGTAAGGGACTTATTAATTTTTAAAACTTTTGTATTTTAATTTGGTTTCTTTGTTAGGTGAAATATCAACGAGAATTAACGAAATGTATAAAAGTAATTATGAAAAAATGTAATAACGATGATCAGGAAATTGGTAAAGATATTTTTGTTATTGCAATAACATTGATTGCCCTTAAAGACAAAGAAAACGACACAATAATTGATTATACCCTGCTTGATGACCTTTATAAGTGTTTAGGACTTAATTCGTCTTATGAACTCTGGCATAAATACACGAAAAATGTATTGGATGTTGTAAATAAAGACCCCAAAATGTGGACAATTAATACAGCTGAAAGATGCATGTTTGATGTCGTACTTCTTAAATCAGGTAAGTTTAATGAGAAATACTAGTTCTTCCTCCCTATCAGTCACTGTGAGCTCGAAATTGTTGGCGCCATTGCTTCGAGTGGTCAAAATTCACTTTTGTGAACAATTTTTTTAATCACTGTGTTAAAAATTGTTTGAAAAACGTTTTGATTCTAATTGTTTATATTTAAAGCATTGACATCAGTGACAGCAAGAGTTGGACTTTGTCCTGTGCTGAAAGCACTCATATTTTTTTTATGTATATAATTAAATAAGATTTTAGCTCTAAGTTTATTCATATTGTCAATAGTCGGCCATTTTTATTGCTCCACTATGACGTAGTGTCGGCCATTATTTTTTTTCTAATTGTTGCTGTTGTCGGCCATCATTCCTTTCTAATTGTTGCTGTTGTCGGCCATCATTTTTTTAATTGTTGCTGTTGTCGGCCATCATTCTTTTTCAATTGTTGTCGCATTGTCACTGATGTCGGCCATTATGGTTTTTTAATAGATGTATGGTAATGAATGATTAAAGTTTGAAGGAACTTTCGTTTGTAAATACGTATGCAACGCATCGTAGACTTCAGCATAAGAAATTGCTGGTATTTTCATTTACGTAATACTATTTTGCCCTGTGTTGACAGCACTCATAATTTCTTTTATATCTAATATTAATTTAAAAATTGCCTTTATTATATGCTTATTGGATAAATTAATTTTTTGTTTTTAGAGAAAGCTTTTGGAGAAAATTTAGAAATCATTTCTGGCATACTTGGGGAATGTTTAAATCCCGATGTGGACGCAGAAGCCAGGTTGAAGACATTCATTGCACTTTCTATAGCTTTTGAGAATAAAAAGACCATCTTTGAAAACGCCACGGATCTTAACACGTTTTTAATAAAATTAGTCGATGGTATGTCTCAAAAATTTTATATTTAAATTGCAATTTTATTTTTAATTAATTAATTTCAGATGTGTTGGTTCCCACCCTGGTATGGCACGCGGGTAGAACAGCAGAAGCTATGCGTACGATGGCTGCCACATGTTTGTCTAGTGCCCTTAATCCTGGTAAAGATAATTTTAGACTGTTTTCATCTTTTGAAGTTTTCCGACCTACGTTCGATAAGCTTTTGCCACTTCTGTTCACCTTAATGGAGGACAACTCGTATAAAAGTAGACTATTAGCAGTGGAAAACGTTACCCTTCTCAAAGAGGCCGCTGTACAGTTGGGATGTTGGGAAATTAACGATTTTGTCAAGATTTATCCTGGTAAAAAAATATTTTTTTTAATAACTAGTAATTGTTTTTTTAGTGATGCTATTGAAGTACGTGTACATGATGACTACACACAATATTTTATTTTTAATTTCAGAAGTTTTAAAAAGATTGGACGATCCTATAGACAAAGTACGCATAAGTACATTGAAAACTTTGCCCACAATGTTCGCCAATGTGCCATCAGATTTGGAGAAAACCACATTCAAAAGTCACTCTGAACACATAATAAACACACTTTTAACACACTTTGATGACAACAGTGAACAAGTAGCAGAATTAATTTTTGGTAAGTTTTGTTTTTTTTGTACTTTTGATTTATTAGTTAGTTGATAACAACTTTTAGAATGTCTGAAAGTTGTGGCGGTATTTAATGGGAAATTTCTTCGCGAAAAAGTGGAAAGATTCAAGCCTTTGCTTCGCAATAAGAAGGGTTGTGATGATATATTAAACTATTTATCAGAAAACGAAACTATTTATACTTAGCTAATTGAAAAAGTTGTTTATCTATTGTGTTGTTTGTGCACGTTTAAACAATAAAACTAGTCAAATTGGTACTATTGGCTTTATTATTTTCACAACTAATCTATTATTTAAAAATATACATCAACGGGTTTGTTAATTACATAATTAAATCTTAATCCTTATTTAATTTTATCGTTTTCCCTGCACTCTACCTGAGATCAGAGTTATTATATATTATAGATTATTACATTGTGTGCTTTGCTTTTCTTTATACACTTTTATGGCTTACAGTATTACAGTGTCTTAAAACTATTCAACAATTTTCCTGATATAAAAATATATGCATGTAAAATACCCTATGTATTACATTTATTTTGGTGTTTCGCGTTGTTTTTAAGTACTTTTATTAATTTTTTTAAATCAATTAATTAAGATTAAAAAAACCAATCATAACTTTCGAGTCAACTACTTAACTATTTTTAGCTACGTGTTTTTTTTTAAGGAAAATAAGACCCTAAATTGTATTTACAGAGAAAAATGTGCTAATAATTAGATGCTTGTACTAGGCAGTAAATAACGTAAGTCAAAATGATGCTAATTAACTTAATATGGAATCTTTTATATATTCACATAACTTAGTGAACGTTAGGATAATTAAAAAAAAATACATTTCAATGCTATGCGACTAGAACACTTCTATTCTTTAGTGAATTGTGTGGAAAAAAATTGCAAAATTATATTAATTTATAAAATGAGGTATCTTTAATCGTTTAAAATAAAGTGGTAACTTGAACATACATAAAAAAACTTGTAATTACTGTTTGGCACTTATTATTTTAGTTTATGGTGACTAATTGTGTAAAGATTGATAAGAAAACCAACAGCAAACAAAACACAGAAAAAAGTTGACATTAGCTTCTAGCAAACACACTTGACTCTTCTATTAATGAGCAAAAGTTAACTAATCTACAAATTACAAAAATGTAAATGAATTTTACTTTATAAGGCAGTGTATTTATCTGTAAAACTAATCACTGACGAGCACTTCTTTCAGTTTCAATAAGGCATTCTCTAACTAATAAACGAGCTTGTACAATACCCCTTTTTAATCTCTCTGCTGAACTTTTACTGCCCGCATATGTTGGTCTTACTTCTCTTCCTAATTCTTCAATAACTCCTAAAAGCTGAGCATATTTTGACTGACTTGGCTGCTGACTGCTGGCAGTTACAACAGCCGGTTGAGGGTTAGATTTTGGATTGGGGCTGAAGTTTGCTGGCATAGGAACAGGAGTAACGGTGACATCGTTTAGTTTCGATTCGACAGCTTTAATGTCAACAGTATCCATCTTAAATGTCCTGATATATAAAATTAATTATAGTAATTAGCATATAGGCCAATGTACAGAAAACTATCTTACGTATTTAATCCTGAAGAAGGGGCCACTTGTTTTTTGATAGGACACTTGTGCATCCAATGTACCATAAACTAGTTATATTGATGCGTAGTTCACAATTTAAAGAATATTACAGGATTTAAAATGAAAATCTTGTAGTTCTTGAATGCTAGAAACTCAAATTTGAAAATATATAACCTCAAAACAAAAAATAAACTTGCACAACCACACAATAACCATAGATAACCATAACAATTAACTGGGTATTGTTAAATCTATAGCCGTTACTTTGATCTGTTATTATTTAGTCTGAAAGCGGCGTTGCCAATAGTTATGCGGCTATTATTACAGTTATTTGGAACTCAAATATACACAATACTACATTATTTTTCAGTAACGGTTCTTCAATGAAAGTTCCCGTCATGCGTTATTATAACTTATCTATGATTATAACCCACTATATATCTCTTATCTATGATTATAACCTAACTTTAATTCTTCACTATTTTAAAAATAAGGAAAAATGGCAAATAGTCGTTTAGAAAAAATTGGTAATATTTACACTAGGTAAGTCTTATATAAAATGTAATTAACTATCTTCACATGTTTGTTATTTGGATAATTTTAGAGCAAAAGGTTTGATACAGTCCGGTGCATTGCAATGGGAAGATCGCCCCCTGTGGTATGATTTATTTGAAAGATTTCCTCCAAAAGAAGATCCAAGATTCGATAGACCTGCTCCACAAATAACCCTAAAACAAATATTTTACGAAGAAGATAATATTAGGTCGTAAGTGTTTAATAATACATGTTGTAATAATAATATAATATAACATTTAATCATTTGTTTTAGTATATTTCATAAAAGAAACAAGCAAATTGGTATTACCAATATGTTTAATAGCTCCTCACAAACGGTGACTCAAAGATTTATACAATGTTTTCAAAAATTACAAAAAGAATATGAAACTTCGGTACCTGTTGAAAAAGTTTATGAGGAAGCAGTTGAAATGTTACAAAAAGAGCGACAGAAGAAGTCGCAATTGTCGGAAGAAGAAGGGGAAGCTATCAGTCTAACAAAATCCTTCAAGGATGCTCAAGAACAAAGAAATAGTCAAGAACCAATGTTAAATATTAAAGTAAATGAATTGTTTAAGGAATAACTCTGAAGTTATTTTGTATTTGTCATTAGTTTGTGTTTAAGTAATAAACTAGTACTAGCTATTCAAAACAATATAAAAATCATTTTTTAATTATGTTTTTTTAGTTGTATAAAAATGTAATTTAATTAATGTGCCTATTTTATTATTTAGTTGGTTAAATAATTTTGTGTATTTTGAAGTCTGCAAGCATCAAGAATAAGAAGAATAGTGTTTTAAACTTATCTATGGTTTTGAAAAAGGTTAGGTTATGTTTTGTGGAAACGCCAAAATTTAATTTCAGAATGCAAATTTTATCTTTTTAAGAGAAATATTTTGAATTTTGTGGAATGGAATCGACAGTACGAACATTTGTAAGTGAAGCACACATATTTATACGGCAGTAAATACCTAATTTATATTTGTTTTACTACAGGCTATCCCTAACGAGTTGTGTAGAAGAGCCGGTATTGCAGCTACATGGCATTCAATAAATAATTTAGGTATATTTCCTTCTCAAAGTGTAAATCCTAGTATCCCAGACAGACCAAGCCCATATGGACCTAGTGAAGCCTCGGTATTTAATGTTCGTCAAGACATATTACTATTTGAGCCTATTCTAAGGAAACTTGTGAACGAATCCAATGGAATTTTCTTAAATTTACAAATTCTTACATCTGGTAATGTTGCGAACTTAAAACAGGAACTATTAAAAGTCAGTCATCAGTATAGGTCAGTAATACGTGCATGCTTGGAAAATTTACAAGATGAAGTAGCAAGGGTTGATGAACATACAAGTGAAAATATGAAAAATTATATTACTATATTCTACTCTATTGAATGTATATGGCATCTTTGTGAAATCTTATTTATAGAAAATATACCTGGTAAGTATAATACAATTATATAATTCTAGTCTTCATGCTCCACAAATGTTTGTTTCACTTATCAGGTAGTATAGTTCTCCCACACCTTTTGGAATGGGTCAGGTTTCATTTTCCTAAATATGAAAGGCAAGCAACTATTTATTTAAACTCTGATATTGATAATATTGAATTGGATCCTGATTATTGGAAAACAGTAATTGGTTGTCTTCTTCAAGGGCGAGTGGAAGTTGTTAGGGCTCTTTTGACACTGCATTCATCAGCAAACAGTCCAGTGTTTAAACTGTTTGACCAAACATTAAAGTCGATGCCCATTTACAATGTAAGCAATATTACACACTATATACTTTTATTATAAATTCTTATGCCCACATATATTTATTTAGGTTTATAGTGGTACTTCTGTGACAGAGTTTAATTTACGATGGAAGCATTGGTTGGTAGACACACAGTCGAAGATAGATGCTAAATCATTTGTCTCAGAAAGTCATTTAAACCTTATGATGAAGGTAAATTTCCATTCACTTTCATTTCTTGTCCTTTATCATTATTTTATCCAATTATTTAAAAACATTTATTAGCTTGCAGTTGGTGAAGAACTGGCTTGGAATCAGGTACAAGCTCAGTGTGAGGCTTGGTACGAATTATTAGCCTCCTGGCTGTTTTTTACTGAGCCAACTGTTAAAACTTTTGAGCTAGGTCAGTTTGCTAGACGATGCATTGGTCGTATGGGCGTTAGAGATCACCTAAGACATCTAGACCAAATTCTTTTGGCAGCATTAGAAGCTGATATATTTCAGGTAAATTTCTTATTTTTAATTTGCAATCTGATTAGTATATTATGTAACTTCTTAGGTGATAAAAGAAATTCAGCACATGTCTGAAAATGGGTGGTTTGTGAGCCATTTAACTGACTTGTTATTTCATGCAGGAGTTTTGGATACTTTAGATGGGACCAATGAGGACTTGTAAGCATAATTTAATGTTTTTTGTATTATTTTGTTTCTTATTTTAAATATTAAGGGTGGCTGGACGACTTCGCGAGTCTTTCTTAATTGATTATGGGGTTCTAATGAGTAGCCACCATTCCTTGTGGCAATTGGGCTTAAGTTATTTGGATCATTGTCCCTCAGATGGTCTACATGTTATTCAATTACTGCTGCAAAAGTTGCCTTTAGGAACTGAAGTTCGAGTGCAAAAGATTGTTCGAGAGGCACTTAAAAGAGACCTCCATCCTGTGGGTATGTTAAAGAAAACAATTAAATTTAAAGGAATTGTTTGTAAATATGTATGCAACACATCGTACACTTCAGCATAAGAAATTGCTGATACTAACTACGTAATACTACTTTGCCCTGTGCTGACAGCACTCATAATTTCTTTTATATGTAATATTATATTTGCTCATCAAACCCTATTCGTATAAAATTGCAAAGTGCCTATAGTTTTCAATGTAATAGCGATTAGCTCCATCGCAGCACGTGCGCGACGAGCGGTCTGGTCATTGAGATAAAAAGATGATTAAAGGCTTCCTGGCGACATTAAAACGTGGTATGTGGAAAGTAACAACAAAAAGTGCGGCTGTATTACGAGCGCATTGTTATAAATTTGGTGCTTCTCGTCGCCAGTTATGTAAGGGTTGTTCCGGTAGTAAGGCGAAATATCTGC